TGAGTCGCTTCGGGCTCCTCGTGGTGTGAGTCGTTCGGGCGCCACGTCCTGGTGTGAGTCGTTCGGGCCCCTCCTTGTGGTGTGAGTCGTTCGGGCTCTTCGTGGTGTGAGTCGTTCGGGCCCCTCGTCCTGGTGTGAGTCGTTCGGGCTCCTCGTGGGGCCTCTTGGGGGCCTCTTGGAGCCTCTTGGGGCCTCTTGGAGGCCTCTTGGAGGCCTCTTGGGGGCCTCTTGGGGGCCTCTTGGAGCCTCTTGGGGCCTCTTGGGGGCCTCTTGGGAGCCTCTTGGGGACCTCTTGGGGCCTCTTGGGGGCCTCTTGGGGGCCTCTTGGAGGCCTCTTGGGATCCTCCTGGGAGCCTCTTGGGGCCATCTTGGGGCCTCTTGCGACCTCCTCTGAAGCGCAAAGGAGCGCCGCCCCCTGAAAAGGACAAAATGAGGCCAAAACCTTAGTAAATCAACGATTTTGCTATGGAGGAAAAGAAGCGCGCCCCCCTCAGGAGGCCAAAATGGGGCCAAAACCGTAGTAAAATCAATGATTCTTGCTTCAAAGAAGAGCAGAGGGGCCAAACTCCGTCCCCCCGTCGGGGCCAGAATCCTCGTGAGGGTCGTCGTTTTTTTACCCTCCCTGGAGTCGAAAAAGACCCCCCTGAGCACACCCCGGGCTCCCTGTCCAGGTCCAGGGGGAGGGGGTAGGGGGAGGGGTAAACCCTTCCCCGAAGGGGAAGAAGGGGGGTTGGGGGGTTGAGAACAGAGAAAGCTCCCTAAACCACTCACGCCCAAAGGGCTGGTGGGATTACTTTTTCAGGGCCCTTTTGGAGGGCCTCTTGGAGCCATCCTGGGCTGTATCGTCTGCCTCTTGGCCGTCTTAGGGCTGTCTTGGTCTGTCTGACGCCTTCGCGGGCAGTCTTGGTGCCCGCTTGTGGCGCTTTCGGGCCGTTTGGGAGCTCGCGTGAGCCGTCTTGGGGCCATCTTGGGGCCTCTTGGCGCGTCTTGCAGTCCCACAGTGCCGTCTTGGGCTGCCAGAGGCCAGGAAGAGAGGGACAAGCCGACATCGATTTCACAGCTACAGGGGGTCAATGATTTGAGCTTCTTCGGGCCCCTCCTGGCTTGGCATCGCTCGGACGTGTGCGTTTTTCCTCCGACGAGGACCATCGAGGAGCATCCTTGATCAGTTGGCAAAAAACGCGCACGAAACCGACAAAAACACAGGGAATGGACGTCCGAGCGATGGCCAGCTGGAGTGTCTAGTGGAGCGCTGCTGGACGGCATCGGCGGCCTCTTGGGCCGTCTTTAAGAGCTCTCCTGGCCCGTCTGCCGCCCTTCGGCGGCCGTCTCGGAGGTCGCCTGGGCCGTCTTGGGGCCACCTTGGGCCGCCTTAGGGGCTCCTTGGCAGGGCTCGCTTCGATTCCCCCGATCCGATTCGATTCGACTTCGATGGCCTCCGATTCCGATTCGATTCGACTCGGGATTTCGATTTGGGTCCCGCTTTCTCACTGGAGGCACACCAGCTTGCCGATTTCCGCCGATTCGACATGTCCCGACTCGGCTGCCGAGTTCCGCCGATCCGCTTCATGTCGATCGCCGATCCGACGTATCGATTCGACTCTGGGCTCTCCTGCCTCGGCTCGCCCTGGGAGCCCTCGGAGGCAGCCGTGGGCTCCTCTCTCGGGGCCGTCGGATTGCAAAAAAAAACGAAGGATTGCAAAAAAAACGAAGGATTGCACAAAAAAACAGGATTGCAAAAAAACCCAGGATTGCAAAAAAACAGAGTTTTTTTTGCAATCCAGGGTTTTTTTGCAATCCTGGGTTTTTTTTGCAATCCTTGGGTCCTCTCCAGGGGCGCTCTCTTGGGCCGCCCCTGCAGCCCTCCTGGGCCGGCCCCGGGGCCGTCTTGGGTCCTCTCCAGGGGCGCTCTCTTGGGCCGTCCTGTGACTCTCCTGGGCCGTCTTGGGTCCTCTCCAGGGGCCGTCTTGGGTCCTCTCCTGGGCCGTCTTGGGCTCCTCTCTCTGGGCCGTCTTGGGTCCTCTCCAGGGGCGCTCTCTCGGGGCGTCCCTGCAGCTCTCCCTTGGGCCGGCCCCGGGGCCGCGCTTTGGCCGTCCTGGCGGCGCTCGGCTGCTCGCCCTGGAGGCCGACGGTGCGCTGTGTTGGACTGTCGGGGGAGCCCGAAGTGGCGGGAACTCCGCGTTCACGGGCAGCACTGTCTCCGGGTTCGCGATGAAGAGGTTCGCGATGGCGTCCATGAACACCGCGACGGCTAGATGCTCGTTCTGGGGACCTTCCTCGAGCCACTCGCTCTCCGCTCGTGCGTCGATGCTCCGTCGACCGCTCGTCGACTCGAATCGGACCTGGGTCGAAGTTGAGTCGAGCTTGATTCGAAGCAGAATCCAGAGGGTCCAGATGCACTCGAACATACAGTCGGGGCCCTGAAGAAGGAACCCTTTTCGTTGGGAAAGGGCTCCGCGTTCCTTACGTGTTTCACAGCTTACCTCAGGCTTTCCTTATGTCTTCGACAGGAGAACGGAGGTTCACTTATGGAAAAAAGGGGCCTCGTTCCTTATTTAGGGTTCCTTAGGTCAACGCCGCAACTGTATCCCTCGTTCGGCACAGGAGCGGAACATGCATGCTCATGGCTTCTTCGGGGCCCTCCGGGAGGGCCTCTCGGAGCCCTCGTGGGCTGTATCGGGGGCCTCCTCGGCCGCCTTCGGGCTGTCTTGGCCTGCCTGGCGCCTTCGCGGGCCGTCTTGCGGGCCTCTCGGGGCCGTCTTGGGGCACGTTCGGGCAGTCTTGGGGGTCTCCTGGGCCGTCTCGGGGGCCTCTTGGGCCGTCTTGGATGCCTATGGGCCAGTTCGGAAACCCGAAACATCGAGAACGCGAAACTCATTGAATAATTGAAGGTGCAATCAGTGATTTCGTTTTCTGGGCCCTTCTGCAAAGCCTCTTGGAGCCTTCTTGGGCTGTAGCCGCATTGGGCTCATCTTGGGTTGTCCGTACGGCATGTTGGACCAGCTTGAAGGCATCTTGAGGTCTTCGCTCCTGTCAGTTGTGTCGGCGCTCTCTGGAGGCCAGAACGACGCCAGAAAACAGAACCGAGGGGGGCGGTTTCCCTGGGGATGCGCACGACGAAGGGGGGGTCCTAGAAACACGACGCCCTGGCGGCAGAAGACCCCAAACTCGAGTAGGGCATCGAATGCAACGTTGATTTACCCCAAAGCTGATCTGCTCATCGGGTCGACGAGAAGCGCATCGAAGGCTTGTCGAATCACCGAAAATGTGATGCACTTTTCGGAGATTCGACTCGGCGGCGCGCTCGGGGGGGAAGTGAGAAGGGGCGGGCCTTCTCAGAAGGCTCGGAAGTCCCCCAGCCTTCTGAGAAGTGTTGTAGGCCTTCTCCGAAGACAGAAAAACAACTTCTCAGAAGGCGCGAGGGCTTCCGAGAAGTCCCGCCACCTTCTGAGAAGGCCTTCTCCTTCTCACTCCCCCCCCTCGCTCGCCGCCGATCGACAGACAAAAACCATCCTGGGGCGAATCGATTCTGCACTCCTCCTCCTCCTCCTCCTCCTCCTCCTCCTCCTCCTCCTCCTCCTCCTCCTCCTCCTCCTCCTCCTCCCCCTCCTCCAGTCGATCCCCCGCTCGACAGACAGCTTGAGAAAGACCACCGGGCCACCGACGGGCCGCCGACGTCGGGGCCCCCTGGCGGCGCTCCATGGGGCCACGATGGGGGCACCGGTTGCGGGGGGGGGGAGCCCGGGGGGGCTCCCTCCCCGGGCGCTCTATGCTGAAGCCGGGCATGTCCCTCTACAGGGGGAATAGTCAAAAATAGTAGAAATATAGTCAGGGGGCGAATGTTTGACTATTTTTGAGCATTCGGGTGTATTTTTTGAGTATTTTCTGTTTTTCGCCCAAAATGCCCCTGCAGGGGGACACGCCCGACTCAACTCCATGCATCCCGGAAATCGGCGAGCTGGTCATCAGCAGAGACCAGACAGCTGCTCAGTACCAGCGTGCCGCTGGCTCGGTGGCGGCCCTCGTGCGCTTCGTCCTCGTCCCTGCGCTTCGCTTCCTCCTCGTGGTCCTCATGCTCCTCCTCGCTATTCTCGCGTCCGCCATGTCGTCCTTGTCATCACCTCCTCTTCGCCCTCGCCCCTATTTTCTTCTTCCTCGCCCAGTGCGCCCATTGGACTAAAGCGGCGCTTTCCGTTCTTGTCCGATCAGGCTCTAGAAGGGGAGGGGGTACCATTGTGCATTCCCTAAAGATCGGGGACGGCATCTCAGAGAGCTCGGGGGGGGGTCTCGTGCATGCGCCGCGCCCGTACTTGCAACCGTTGCTGCTCAGCTGTGTTGCCAGCACAGTCGCGGCCACCCTGTGACTTGCATTATGTCGGGCGTGTCCCCCTACAGGGGGATTTTCGACGAAAAAATAAGAATACCCCCAAAATACCCCCAAAAGGCCAAAAAGTACTAACAAAAGATAGTCCCCAGAGTATTTTTGGAGCATGTTTCGTCGAAAATCCCCCTGTAGGGGACAGGCTCGACTTAAGACTTTTGCACAGCGCTCCGTCTCTCCCCACCCCCTGCTGGGGGTGCCGCACGCGGGCCCGGGCCACCGAGCTCCGCCCCCACCGCTACTGCGGTCTTGCCGAGGCCGCGGCCGCGGCGGCCCTCCGCTCTGCCCACGGCCCCGTGCGCCCTGCCTGGTCCCGCGTGCGTGCGGACCTCTCCGCGGGTGCCTTGGCAGCATGCCTCCAGGCGACGCCTGGCGTGGCACATCATCGACGGTGCCACGCGCGCTGCGGTGGAGGGGAAGCCACGGGTGGACCCTCCCCCCGCCCCTCCCGAGCTCGGAGCTGGCACGCGCGGGGGAGGCTGCGGTCGGAGTGGAGGACTCGTCAGACCCACCGCCAACTCTGGGCCTCTTGGGGGGGAGGGGGCGGCGTGGACCGAGGAGCGTGGCATGCGTCTTCGCTGGCTCTCTTCCCGAGGCCTGCAACACACGTCCTGCCGAGGCCACGTGCGGCGAGGGCCTGCACTCCCGCTCGCGCAGCATCGCGGTGCCGGCGAGGGACGGCGGGGCGCCGTGCAGCGACGCGCTGCTGCAGACGGCTGCGTGCAGCGTGCCGGCCCCAGGGGGGGCCGGCGGCCCGTCGGCGGGGTGGCATTATGTCGGGCGTGTCCCCCCTGTAGGGGGACAGGCCCGACTTGAGGGTGGCGTCTCGGATTCGGTTTCGCGGGCCGAGTGTTTTAAGTCGGGCGTGTCCCCTCGACTGCAGGAGGGATAACAGGTTTAAGAACAGCTGTGGTGCGAGTATTATTCTGAACAGAGTTGGGCCTTTTTGTTGACTATGTCCTATGTTGCCTCCGAAATCCGCCTGTAGGAGGACATGCCCGACCTCAACCGAGTGGCAGGCGTCGGACGGGGTACAGGCAGGGCGCTGCAAGAAAGACCATCTCTTTAGATGTCAGGGTCGGGGAGGCCATTCGCTGCCCAGGCGAGCCGTTGCCAGGAGAGCCCGTTCGGTCCTTATTCAGCGTTCTCTACGGCCTCAGGGCAGCACGATGACTGTATGGATTGGCGGGCTAAACAATCGTAAGAGCCTGGAGTCCCTCTGGGAGTGACTGCGGATCCCAGTGACCTCTAGCGCGCCAGAGGCGTTCTCGGAGCCCTCGAGGCTCGGACTGCCCTTGCAGACGCAATGCCGAATCCCGGAAGAAGTGCGGAAGTCTCTTCCCGGCATAGAAGGTGGAATTGCGGGAGTACAGTGGAATCACATTTGAAGGACGGAGTATGCTTGTAAGTCTTTGGGCCCTGCTGGGGGGGTCGACGTCCTCATCGTGATCGGTGCCGTCCTCGTGCTCGTGGTGTTTTGTTGTCGCCATCGTGGTTGTTGTCGTTCTCGTCGTCGTTGTCGCAGTCGTCCTCGTTGTGGTCGTCGTCATCGCAGCCGTGGTCTGTGTCGTCGCCAGGTCGCCACCATCGCTGAGGGGTGGGTCGACCCACTCCTTTTTCGATGGGAGGGTTCTCGCCAGGGAAGGGGGGGATCGGCAACGAGCTCCGCGATGCAAAATCCCTTTAGAACCTGCACGAGCAGGCTGGATGTCGCTGGTGGGAGCACATGGAAGCTCGGAGGCGAGGAACAATCTCGCAGATGCACCAAGCGATCGGTCTCCAGAATGCCCTCAGCGATGCAGCTATCGTAGGGGAGACCGAGGGGGCGAGGGTGGAGGGGCAGCAGCAGGGGTAGCAGGATAATATATGGAGGAGGAGGAGGAGGAGGAGGAGGAGGAGGAGGAGGAGGAGGAGGAGGAGGAGGAGGGGGAGGAGGAGGCGGAGGAGGAGAGGGGGAGGAGGAGGACGAGGAGGAGGATGAGAGAGGAAGAAGAGGAGGGGGAGGAGGGAGGAGGAGGATGAGAGGAGGAAGGAGGAGGAGGAGGAGGAGGAGGGAGAGGAGGAGGAGGAGGAGAGGAGGAGGAGGAGGAGGAGGAGGAGGAGGAGGAGGAGGAGGAGGAGGAGGAGGAGGAGGAGAGGTGGAAGAGGAGGAGTAGGGGGAAGAGGAGGGGGACGAGGAGGAGGGGGGTGCCCTTCTGTCGCCCTCCCTCTCTCCTCCCCTGTCGCGCCGATCGTTTTTTATCCTGCACGCTCTACTATCTCTCACACCCTCGTGAGCACGGTCAGGTGTGCTCACGGGTGCCCGTGACGGCTGGCATCCGCCAGGGTTGCCCGTTGTCGCCGTTGCTGTTCGTGCTTGCATTTGGCGGGCTGCTGCGGCATTCGCCGACGACGCGGCGACGGTGTTGCGAGCTTCGCGCCGCGAGGCGAAGAAGGTATCTCGAACATTCGCAACGTGGGCCGCGGTGTCGCGGCTAGATCTCAATCCTTCCAAAACCGTTGCCGTTCCACCCTGGGAGGAGGCTCCGGCGACCATCCAAGACCGATTGCTCAGGGACCCTGGCGTGCCGCGCATCGAGCGGAACTTCACGAGCAAGTGCCTCGGATTCTACATCGGTCTTGGCGCAAACCCATGGGGAAATACGAGGCTCGGCTCTATGATTGGCCATGGTCCAAGATGTGTCTTCATCCAGCACTGGCGACCTACAACGTCCTGCTCCTATCATTGTACGTCGCCCAGCTGGAACTCCCCCCCCGCCGAAGCGGCCTAGTTGGAAGCTCGGGCAACAAGGAGCGCGTCGCCCGCACCAGACGACTGGTGCAGCACGGCCGACCTACAGCACGGGCCAGAATTTGAACTTGCGCACTGGCTCCGCCCTGCGGTCGCGTCGTGTGCAGCGGCCATGCTGCGCACGCACGCGTAGGAGGTAGAGCGACGTCCAGGGGGCATCGCATGGAAAAACTTTTACATGGCGAGCTGATCATTGCCCTGCGGTGCACGGCCCTCCACATCTGGCTGGCCCGCTGGCATGCGTAGTACGCTTCCCACGCCCCCCACGGTATTATAGAGAGATTCTCCAGCGTTGCCGCCAGAGCTGCACGGCGCAGGCCAGAAAAGGGCACCGCAGGCGTCAAGGTGGGGCCGCTTGCAGTGAAAGTGGAATGAGCTTATCTTAGACGTACAGTGCCGTTTTTTTATACATGCTCCGCGTGCGGATCATGTGTTAAAAATGCAGGGAATTTGTTTTAGAAGCAACGATGGGTTCATGCATACATTTATTCATAAATTTATCATGTATTACAATCCAATGCTTTTAAAAATCCCATGTATTAAAAACTGCCCTGCACTCAGAATCTGTTCGCCCGCCACTTCTTGAAACCCGACATGGCCTCTGCCCAGAAATGCGGCTGCGACGTAAGATGGGCCGCTGGCGGCGTGCAGGGCTGCCAGTCCCGACGGCGCGGCGCGCCCCCACCGGACGTTGCAGCGCTTGAAGGCCATAAGTATTGCCCCGCCGAGGGTGCGGGCTGCGATGTTCGGCACGCTTTTCGACCGGTGCGGTCCACCAACAGTTTTTGACCCGCGGGTCGAGAGCGCACCTCTTCCGGTCGAAGCTAAGCGGGCCGCGCGAAGCTTGAATTAGGCAGGGAAGAGGAGGGAGGAAGCGGCGGAGCCTCAGAGCGGTGCGGTCCCCCAACAGGGGATGTAAATTTGGGTGCCCAGGTGGTGCTCAGGATTCTGGCAGAACACCACATCCATCGAGGTGTCATCCAGCAACGGGGTGCCAGCCGACTCCTAGGGAGCAGCTCGAGATGCAGCAAGGAACAGCAGATGCTGGCAGTCCCCGTGACAGTTCAGCAAGCGTGGCGAGTTGCGATCGTGAGCTACGTGTATCTTGTCACACCACGCAGCCAGTTCGACACAGGACCCGACTCACTTCATAGTACATTCGACCTGCCATGAACCAAATGCTACATGAATCAGTGCTGGACTCCGACGGTTTTGCGGGCCCTGGCGAGCGGACTGCAGTCGATTTTCTGGAGAACTCGAACGAGGCGGGCCCCTTCCACGACCAACTGTCCTTCGCAATGTTGATACGACCTCAAGCCCCACCCAATCGACGGCCCTCCTCTTCCACAACCCTTACTTATGCTTGCTTCACTTCTCCACTTCTGATCTGCCGTCGCAGATTTGACTGCGGGTCTCAGAGCGATGGTTATTCTTCGCGTCTGGGAGAGTTGCGACTTAAGTTTTTGCAGCGGCGACGCCGATCCGATCACGACTCCAGTTCCGACCCCAGTTCCGACAGCGGTGGTCTCGAGCCCGACGCGCGGGCTCCCGGGCAGGCTCCGACTCCAGCTCTGGCCACTCTTGCGCCGCCACCTTCGGCTCCGCTTCCGACTCCAGCCAAACGTCAATGTTCTCACGTGCAGCTGCAATCACGTGTAAGCAAATTGTAAGACAACATGTTGCCAGCTGCCCCCGCTAACTCTGCAGTGCTTCTCTGGTTTTGTACAATTCCACTATCTTGATAGCCTCCCGCCTGATTCCACCACGATGGCTCACATGCGTGGCACGACGAGTGCCACGAGCACCATGAAGGGTACCATGAGCGGAGCCGCAGCGCACCGGTGAGTTGCCCAGTTCACCGGTGCTCTCCAGGAGCTATGAGCATCACGACAAGCACCACGAGCAGCACGACGGACACCAGGAGCTGCATGACAAGCACCGAGGGCAGCTCAGAGGCTCCCATGGACAGCATGGCGGGTACCACCTGCACCACGATGGTTCCTTGAAGTTGCACGACGAGTGCCACGAGCAACACGGCGGATGCCATGAGCAAAGCCGCAGCGTACCGGGCAGTTGCCCAGCTCACAAGTGCGCTCCAGGAACCATGAGCAGCACGACAGGCACCACGAGCAGCACGGCGGACACCTGGCACTCAGCGTTCCGACTCCCAACTTCAGCGTGCGGCCTCCCACGCCCACCTCGGCCTGTCGACCTCCAGCCTCCACCAGCGCGGCACTCCGACATCAAGCAGCTCCCACTGACTCCCCTGCCGACTCCGACTCCAACTACCGACTCCGACTCCCCTACTAATTCCGACTACGCCACCTTGAGTTAATTATCCCAGTGCGACCCTACTTAGGAGTTGGAGCATTTAGGAAAACAACATCTACATCTACACCGACAGCTACATTTACATCTACACCTGCATCTACATCTACATCAACACCAACAGCGAGGTTCACATCTACATCTACATCTACACCTACATCTACACCTACATCTACATCTACATCTACATCTACATCTACATCTACACCTACATCCACATTTACACCTACACCTACATCTACAGCTACATCTACACTTTCGCATTGGTGTTGCTGTTGCTGTGCATTGCCTTTGCTTTTGCTCTGGCCTTTGCATTTGTCTTGCTATGCTATGCTATAATATGCTATGCTATGCTGCGCTATGCTGTGCTATGCTATGCTATGATATGCTGCGCTGTGCTATGCTAAGAAATGCTATGCTGTGCTATGATATGCTGCGCCATGACATGTTATGCTGCGCTATGCTACGATATGCTTGGCTATGCTTGGCTATGCTGTACTGTGCTGTGCCAACGCTACGCTGCGCTTTGCTGCGCTAAGCTAAGCCAAGCTAAGCTAAGCTAAGCAAAGCTAAGCTAAGCTAAGCCAAGCTAAGCTAAGCTAAGCTAAGATGAGATACGCTAGGCTAAGCTAAGCTAAGCGAAGCTAAGCTAAGCTAGGCTAGGCACAACTAAGCTAAGCCAAGCTAAGCTAAGCTGAGATAAGCTAAGCTAAGCTAAGCTTGGCTAAGCTAAGCTGGGTGAACCCAGGGGGCGTAACTGGGGGAACCGCGGGGCGGATCCTGGGGGAACCGCCCGGGGCGGGTTCCACTGCCCGGCCCCTTTAAGACAGAGAGTAAGGACCCGTCTAGGCAGAGCCTACCTAGGTAGGGAATTTGCTTTTTCTTGGAGTGAGTTCCAAGGCCCCGAGGTATCCGAAGGCAACGCACCAGAGGATGTATTCATGAAGCATGGCCGCGGGGAAGTAAGCAACACCGCGACGCCGACAACTACGCGCAACACGCATTTGCGCAGCATTTGTGGTACAGCATTTCGTGGACAAACAGCTGCACAGTGAGCGGCATCACGACTCCTTCATCGTCGTACACCATCTCTCTGGTCAGCATGGGACCCTCAGCGCGACTGCGAGCATCAACCCCGCTCCCGCCCCAACACTTGACACGTGTCTTGACCAAAGAGAGGGCGTCCCCAGAATCGGCGCACCCTAGCGCGGAGCACCCAGTCTGGGGGACAAATCTTGCCCCCCTCCTGACTAGTGCGAGCCTCCGCCACTCTCGCCTGCCAATGAGAAGTCACTGGAAGACGATGATGCACCGCGATTTGATACCCGCCGGGGGGGCCGCAAGGATAACGCCAGCAGTCCCGCGTTGAGCAGCTCCACGCCAGAAATACCAGCACCGACTCCGACACCAGCACCGACTTCAGTATCGACTACGGCCGACAAGCTCTGATTACAGTGCCCACGCCAGCTCTGACTACAGTGCCGATGCCAACACCGATGCCAACGCCGACGCCAGTATCGACTTGGTGCGACGAGCACCATCTTTTGGGGCAGCGCCTCGGGACCCAGACGTGTGCCACCAGTGCCAATTCTGACTCCACCGCTTGCTACGGCCTGATCCCTTCCTCCGTTTCCGACTCGGGCTCCTCCTCCTCCTCCTCCTCTTCCTCCTCCTCCCTCCTCCTTCCCTCCTCCTCCTCCTCCTCCTCCTCCTCCTCCTCCTCCTCCTCCTCCTCCTCCTCCTC